GTCGTCTTCCGCCTACACCGCCTGGACAGCCCATTCACCCTACCGGCTTCGGTTACCTCATCCCACGCGACCAGGACTGGAACGCCAGCGTGCTCGGCACCGTCTTCGATGCGTGCGCACTCGGCGGGCAGGATACCTACCCATCTGTAGATGCGCCGAAGTTCACGAAGATGACAATGATGATACGTGCAGAGCCGTCGGCGCCGCCTGTCACCCAAGACGCCGTGCTAGCATACCTCACAGAGCACCTCGCGCCTGCGCACCCTCTGCCCCGGCCGGTCTACTTTTCCGCGAACATTATGCACGAATGCATCCCCACGCCCATAGTTGGGCATGTCCAGCGCATGAAAGAGTTGCGCAATGCAGTCTGGAGGGAGTGGGGCGAGCGCCTGGATGTTATCGGTGCCGGTGTTGGTGGAGTTAGCGTCGGCGACTGTATCGAGCAGGGCCGGCAGGTCGGACGAGCATGGGATCACTAATGATACTTCCGTTGTCGCCGTCAGCTTCCAGGTACCTTAAGACCATGTGCTCTTCCATGCGCATCGTGCAAAGTATACGTCAAGATACGATGTATATCCGTGTGCGCATTGTGTCCCTATTGCCGGCTTTCAGTGTAAGGTTCAAGGAAGTGCTATCGGCTCGTACAGTCATGAGATCATGCTCTGACAGCATTTACGAAAAATTGAGAGCGCTTGGTAGCGATATCTGCGTGCCTGTGCGGGGCGTCGATGACTCTCACGAGCTCTGCCCTGACCTTGTGGGCTTTCTAACCGCCTGGGATGAATTTTTCACGTGGAATTATCCTGCGGAACGTTAGCGATGACCGTACCGACCGAATTCAATTCCATCCTAATTACACACATCATAGTCTTGTACTCCACGGCCCTATTTAGAGAGAGAAATGACCACTAGCACAGCCGAAGTACAACAATGGCCAATGAAGATACACACAGCCTATCCCAGCTAAACAACAGCAGATTACACGGCGGACCAGTAATTGCGCTCCTCGCCCGACTTGATTGACTCGTGCTTGACGGTGTCCACGGCGTGGTCGACGTCGCGCGAAATCATGACCTCGACGCCGCGCGTGGCAGTTCCACCTCCCGAGCGCACGAGGTGCAGCGGGAAGCTCCCCCGCGGCGCAGCACTCTCGACTGCGAACGAGTTTGGGCTGTTCGCTGTGCTGTCGACGCGAATGATGATCAGGTTGAAGGAGATGCCGACGATGACAACCATCTGTGTGGCCCGAATGAGCGGGTGGACGGCAAAGAGCGCAAGTAGAAAATGCGTACCATGTCCGAGACGCCATAGATGGCGTTGCTGCCTACGAGTTCGCAGACGAAGGTAAGAATGACGAACAGAGTGTAGAGCATGCCAGACTCGATAATGATGCGGATGACATGCTGGAGGCGCGTCTTGGGCCGTCTGCTACCTGGGGAGTTCTGCGCAACATGGGACAAGGCCCCCCTGTTGATCTTTCTAATTTTCCACACAATAAGGCCTGAACGCACAGGTTAGCTCTCAGATGCACTGGAATAGCTAGTACAGCTGCCCTACTTGTAGTAAGGAAGTTGAGAGCGATGGTGATAGCAAAGAACGAGTAAAGGAACGGCTTCAGCAGCTTCTGCTGGCTGATGAGCGTGTCGGTGTGCAGGGTCGCTGTGATTAGGATGATCATCACTGAGCAGGCGACATCCGCGAGCCACATCAAGATAGGCACGGCCGCGATGGCCCAGCTGTGCGAAAAGATCACAAAGCAGCGGTAGATCTGTGCGGGACGTCAGCCTGGTGCCCAAACGCGTGCACAGCGCGGGCGGGAGTGCGTACTAGCATTCCATCGCCGATGAGAGACATGACCTGTGTGTCAACCGTCTGCAAGGTAACCAATGAGTCAAAGCGTGGCGGTAAGTAGCTCGTGGCGTACGGACCTTCATGACGTTTACCCAATATGAGATATCGTCAAATTCTCCTGCAGGCCCGCCGGGCCCTTGGTAGAAGACGAACGCGACTAGGATGTGCCGCAGCCCCAGGGTGACGTCAAGGGTCGCGAAAATGGCCATGACAACCATGACAACGACCATGGGCCAGTTGATCGTCCGTTTGAGGCCCTGCCGGTCAAAGAACAGAGTGTACGCGCAGCGGACAAGGGTCACGACGTAGATGCCGTACGTGACCGCCTCCATAAATAGGGCCACGAGCTGAGCCTCGGTAACAGGGAATGCGCCCGACATTTTTGGGAGTGGGGAACGCTATGCGGGTCCCCGCAGCGGGAGGGAGAGAGGGTCACAGTTGAATGACGACAGCAGGGAACAGCTTGCATCTGCGGGAGTGCAGGTGCGATAGTTTATATATTTCCGCGTGAGTTGAGGTGGATGGGATAGTGCCTGACCTGGGACGTGATGGGAGGGCGCTCGGAGAGACTGTTGACATGGCCACGAGGAGCTGTCGACGAGCCATCGCCACCGAATGGCCGTGGCGCAGGCATTCGTGATGGGCCCCGGAGTTTGCGGGATTTAACCCAACATTCATCGGTCTATCATTCCTTCGTTCAGCATCATTTCGCCCTCAAACTCTTCAAAACTGCAATCCGGGCGGCGCTCTCCTTGTATGTATGCCAGAGGAAAAGCTACCCCCACTGTCCGAACAGGCAACAGAAGTTCATCCCTGAACCCACTAGAAGTCAGCCGAGCAATCTCAATTTCCTGACAACCCAACACACTCACGAGTAGATCGTTCAGGCGGCTATTCGGGTTCACATGGCCATATGCGAAATGTTCGCAGGCTTGGTTCGGACACGGTCCATTCCCGCACTAGTGTTTTGATGGTGGTCGAGAGCCTCGCGGCTACTTATCGCGTACTGAATCTGGAAAAGTGGGAGAGATAAGGAGGCAAACAAGCTCTACCGGCTACCGGCGAGGCTCGGCGCAGTGCGAACGATGGTACCATAGCAACAAAATCATGGTCGCGTGCCCAGAGTGAGTATCCGACGATTTGTCCACATAGGAAAATGCGCCACTGTGTAGGACAGCTAGGCTCGTCTAAGATTGCGATCACAACGCACTCAGCATAGTCGGATCTTCCGGCTGACCACAGTCTGAAGCACAGCAAGGATGGAGAACAGCCTCTAACGTGCAAGAGGCTGGCTCCCGTATGAGACAAGCTGATTGAGACTTTGCTGAACAGGCTTTCGTGTCAGCACGAGAATAATGAGAGCCAAATGTGAGACATACGCCCGATCGCCGACCCGGATGATGGCGGAAGATTTAAGACGCATCTAGCATCTGCCACAAGAGCAAGCTGCAAGAATTGTTGGTGCCGTATGTTGAGCTTCGGCCAGCGCAGAGGTAATAAGGCTGTCATAACGCTTCACGAGGCGCCTCGGCTAGCAAAACATTAGGATATTGGAAGAAGCCGGCTTCACGCCTATGACGTTGCGTGACCTCTCAGGTCGGGATGGCGCGCCCGGAGAAGCTTGCGAGTAACAAAAATCGTGGCTGGGCAAAGCCCCAAGACATCGAAGGGGAATAATGGAAAGCGATTTTTAACATCTGACAGATACGGATGGCGAGCGGCGGAGACGTCCCAAACGTAAATGCTTGCGACCAGAGTGAAGCGAAGTTGCGGCAGAAGAAATCGGACCCTGAGAGGGACTACGAGGGGAGGTCTGAAGCAGCCGGATCTCTGGCTTATAAAGACAAATCGTTTTTGCATTCCCGCACACCGGCGCGTTGCATCTCATCTGTCTCGCAACAGATTGCGCGCAGAACGCTGAGCACGTATGCCTTGCTCTGACACTAACGGAATCTCGTAGCGACCACCCACTACATAAAATTGATATTCCGGATACGACTGTGAGGACATGTTCACGCTCACCTCAAGCTCCGATTTGACACGCGCGAGGCACGACGACACCGGCGGATATCTCGGCGCGTGTACCCAGTTTAAACTGGGCAGACTTCGATAAAGAACAAACGAGGAGCATCCTAAACGATCCAAGGCCACCTTGAAGATGCTACTCAAGACATGTCGAGAACTCGGGCGGGAAGATGGTGGTGGATGCAAAGCGCAGGGCGTCTATTTCGCTGATATCCTGAAACAATACACGTGCGTTTGAAACGAATCATTTTGTGCGCTTTCATGACGGTAACTCTTCCAGTTCGTAGATCCCGCACGCAGGAACTTGAAGAATTCGTGCAGTGCTGCCGCTCCAAGGACGTCGCGCTCATGGCTTACTCCGCACCAGACGCTTCCAATTTGCCGCTGCTCGTGAACCCGGTCGTGCTCGGATTTACAGAGGTGTACTGCGTCAGCGGCCCCGCAAGCATGCTCGTCTCGTTCCAGGCGACCCCTAACGCTGCGGTCACAGTGCTTATCAAGTCATTCAAGCCCAGGCGCGGTGTTCAAAACTTCAAACTCATCATTAACGCGGAGATTGCAGAGCTTCCGAATGCCGCGCGACACTCGACGCGTGGTACCCCTAGTGGACCAGCCATGACAATATCAGCTCCCCCGACCTCCGTGCGTCGGGTCTCCCGCAAGACTAGAGTTTATTCAATGTATTATGGGCTGCGCGCATAGAACAGAGGTCGTCGTACGGGCCCATG